CTTTTCCTCCTCTTCCTCCCCCTCCCTCCCCCTCCCCCTCCTCCTCCTCCTCCTCCTCTCTCTCATTCTCTCTCTCCTTGGGTGAACTGAAATACGGTTTAAATGTAACTAAAGCGCACCCTTGTCACATATCCAAGCCAGAACTGTGTCCTCCAGTCCAGCCAAAAAAAACGGGGGTGGTGGTGGAAGAAGCAGACATCTGGAGGTCGACGCCCCCCCTTCCCCCCCCTTCAAACCTGGACTTTTCCAATTGCGAAATCTGCTTGGAGGGTCCGGTTCCCAGAGGCACCTGTGCAAAGCTGTCCTACTCCTCCTGGAAGGTCGGGATGTTAACATCTAAACGGCCGTCGCAATCGCTTCACGTATTTTATATATATATATATTTTTAATTTTTTCTTTCTTTTTGGCTGGCCTGGTGCCAGCGTGCGGGGACTCACGTAGGACTTCCTCCTCCTGGTAAAGAGTCCTCTCCCCCCCCCTCTTCTTTTTAAAAATCCCCTTTGCCTCCCTACATCTCTGGAGGTTCTCTAGCCGGAGTTTCCCCCCCACCTCCACACACTCACTCCCTTTGGTGTGAGAGCTTTTTTTTGGGGGGGGGTGGCTGGGAATGACAGGAGGATTACCACCACCCCCTCCCCGCATTGCGGTCCATCCCATCAAACCGACCATCGACCATCCGTAAGGCCCGCGGGCCACGCACCGCCCGCCGATTGCAAGGAGGAGGAGGAGGAGGAGGGTGGGGGAAAAAACGTAGCTTATCCTTCTGATGTGTAAAGTCTTCTCTGTATATTCCTGTAGAGCTACAGACGCACTTAGAATCGACTTAGATGTGTAAAGATTTTGTTTTTGGGGGTTTTTTTTGGGGGGGGGGGGTTTTCAAAAGCACCCGGAAAGGCGGTTTGGGGCCCCCCCCCCCCCCGCCCCCGCCCCGAGCTCCAGCTGCAACACCGTGGACTTCCTCTGTCCTCCTGAGGATGGGAAGGCAGATTCCCTTGGGCTTCCAGCCCTCATTTTTTTCCTCTCTCTCTCTCGAGTTCTTGAGCATGTGTAGGACCCAGGACCCTGTAAATAAATACCCACCGACCCAGGCTCACTTCATCTGTCTTGAAAGGTGACCCAGCCTGGCCCCTCCTGCCCAGGTGATCTGCTGGCTGGGGTTGCTTCCTGGCTGCAGATGGGTAGGAGCTGGTTGGTTGGGGGTGTTGAAAGCAAAGCTGTTGGCACGAGGGCCGTAAAATATATATATATATATACATATACATATACATATATATTTTCCGTCTGCTGTTAACCATTACCCCCCCTCTCCCCCCGGTTTTGGATTTTTCTACTTTTATTTTTAATTTTTAAATCAATTGGGCAGCTCCCTTTTTTCCACAAACCTTTGTGACTGTAGAGCTTATTGTAGATGAACCGGTGTTTTTTCTATATTATTATTATTATTATTATTAAGAAGAAGAAGAAGAGAAAAAAAAAATTATCCAACACAGTAATATTGGTACCTGTCATTTTTTTTTCCACTTCTGTTTAAGAAAAAGAAAAAAGAAAAAAAGAAAGAAAATAATAATGTATTTTTAGCAAAATAAACTTGGGTAATCTTCTAAAAAGACATTTTAAAAAAAAAAGAAAAACTCACTGTTAGTGACTTTGATGCCTTTTAAAAAAAAAAAAAAGCTTTTTTCATTTCATTCCATCTTTAAAAATTTTTTATCTTTGTTGTAGAATATTAAAGACTATTTTAAGAAAGATGAAAATTCTCTTTAAAGAGATCTCTAGAATGTGTGACTAGAGCTCCAGATGCCTCTAAAAGCCGCATGTACAAAATGAAGCCGCCGTCTATTCCTGTCTGTTTATATTTGCTTTTCCTGTTTTGTAACTTCTTTGTACTTTGTTCTTGGTGACTTGTAAGCTTCAAAAGGGGAAGGGGTGCCTGGATGATAACCCTTTGTGATTCTCCATGTCATGAGCTCCTGGGCCGGCCGGCCTCTCTTCCTCCTCCCCTTGTATGTAATATCACTTTTTCCCTCCCCCCTTTCTAGCAAGTACTTTCAAAAGAACTCTGTACATTTTAACATAAAAAAAAAATAAATTATGTTGAGCCATTTTGGAGGTCTGGTTTTGCACCTGGAATCTTTCTTCCTCTGGTATGTTGAATCTTAACAAGGGCTCCGGAATTGCCTTTTTAACACACAAAGCGGGTTTTTCGCTTGAGGTTTTGCCTTTTTGTTCACTCAGGGGAAAAAAATAATAATAATAATCTCAATTTTTCTGGCCTTCCCTTTTGCCCTCCTGTTCCTAGTTCCCCCCAACCTGCAGGAAAGTAACCTCTGACTTAGTTTCGAAATCCGCTAAAGCGAAACGGCCCTTTTTTTCCCCTCTCTGTGGCTCCGAGAGTCCGGAGAGAGTGGGTAGGCCTGAGTCCTCGGCCTCTTGGACTGAGTCTGCACATTGATTGAAGCTCCGCCCTGCGCCATGCCCACACTCCAGTTTTCGACTCAGTCCCGCCAGGACGGACATGAATCCTGGGGCTCCCCTTTGATTAGAAGTGGAGGCCTGTTTTTCTTCAATGGCGACCTTTTTTTTTTTTTTTTCAAGAGACTCAGCACTAGGAAGTAAGAGAGGAGGACAGCAGCCAGGACAAAGGGGTTTTTCACCACCCCAGTCCAGGTGGGAGCGCTCAGGGCTGAGGCCCTAGTGCTTGGACCGCGACCGCGTGGCCGCGGTTAGACCGGTGGCAGAGCGATCGACCCAATAAAGGCTCAGCTGTTGGGCATGGAAGCAGAGCAGCACTTTTCTGATCGAGAGATTGACAATTGCTGTCCTCTTGAGAAGAGCCTTGTCGCCGGGTGAAGATGGCATGCTTTGAGCCCTGAGGTGTTTTCATTTTGGAAAATGTATTCCCCCGCTCCAGTTCATAGTGCCTGTCGCTTGCTTATTTCAGGAACCTCATGAACATTGAGTACTGTAGATGTAAGAGAAAAACACGAGCTTCAAGCATGAGATCCAAACGCAGCTTGAAACCCATGGAAAGGATTGAACCACGAAATGCTGCTGGTTATTTGCAGCTTCCTGTCCTGCAGCTCGGTCTCTTGTAAGCTGTCACAGCGGATGTGACAAAAACATTGGGGATAAGCATTCAGATGTACTCATTTAGTATTAGCTTCTTTTAACAACCCCATAATCCCTTGCGGGGCGGAGTCTGTGCAACTGAATGGAGCTAGCAGAGTGTTTTAATGGCTGGATGCCCTTCCTGTCACCAGTGCAGAGTTTTGTTCAGCAGATATATTGTCAGTGTGCCCAGAGAGAGAAATACCTGCCTCTACCAAGGATCGACCTCACAGCCTCCTGATTGTGAGGTGAGAATTCCACCTCTAGGCCACCGTAGCACTCCATGTCCACATCTAGTCTGTTTGTAAGTAAAAGTTTTAGGCTTCCTTTACTACAAACTAGACAACACAGGACCCACATCAGAGATATTTCCTTACCTAAACACAGAAGCCCTTCTCACCACCCGTGGTCAAACAAGCAAGGGGAAACAGCGGCGACTTCCTGCTGTCTTCCCCACTGACTTCGCTTGCGGGGAGTTGGCGGGGAGCATCAGAAATCACAAGAACAGGTAGCGGCCGCAACTTTGCAAATCCAACTGGTGTGACGCTCCTCGAATTTTTCATTACATAAAAAGAGATCCCAGGTTTGGCACACATTCTTGCCCTTTGTGGATTCCGAGGTACCTTGATTCAAATGTTGTTTGCGTTACAGTGTACCATTTGGCCTAACGGAAGGGTTACAAACAGGCAAAGGGAGTTTCAGTAATATATAGATAGTAAAACTGTTGTAGTTTGAAAAATTTATCTCAGGTTCAAAAGATCTATTCTCCAAAGCACCCGAAGGCAGGAGAAGAAACAACGGGTGGAAACTAACCAAGGAGAGAAGCAACTAAGAACTAAGGAGAAATTTCCTGACATTGCCAACCATTAACCAGTGGAACCACTTGCCTCCAGAAGTTGTGAATGCTCCCACACTGGAGGTTTTTAAGAAGAGATTGGACAACCATTTGTCTGAAATGGTATAGGATTTCCTGTTTGAGCAGGGGGTTGGACTAGAAGACCTCCAAGGTCCCTTCCAACTCTGTTATTCTGTTACACCACTGCCTGTTACATCCAGGCTTAATAAATGCCACTGACTTTCAGGAGGTGGCTCTGAAGGTGGACCACAGAGAGAGAGAGGCATCTTGTTTGGAGAAGGAACTGAACAGAATAACAAAAAGGATTTTTAAATCTTGAATCAGAGCAACCTGGGATTTGGGGGCTGCAGGCTCACCAGTTCAGAGAGTGCCAGTTGTGCCCATTGGGACGGCTGGTGTAGAGGACCAGCGGATTAAAAAAGGAGATGGGAAAGAGGGTTTAATTTAGGCTTACCTCGGCAACTTTCCGAGGCTTGGCATATCCTGCAACCGCGTCTGCAGTTTTCTGGTGTGAACCGAAAGATTTACTGGAGTCAAGTCCATGTCCTAAAAGTTGCCCTTCTCCACGGTGTAAGAACTGGAGA